GTCAGGGCTTAAAGGGGGCCCAGAGGAAAGGGGGGGACAAGCTTTTTAGTAGGGCCAGCTGTGACAGGACAAGGGGTAATGGTTTTAAACTGAAGCAGGGTAGGTTTAGACTGGATAGAAGGAAGAAACTCCTTACAATGAGGGTGGTGAAACACAGGAACAGGTTGCCCAGAGAGGTGATGGAGGCCCCATCCCTGGGACCATTCCAGGCCAGGTTGGACGGGGCTGTGAGCAACCTGATGTGGTTCAAGGTGTCCCTGCTCCCTGCAGGGGGGTTGGGCTGGGTGACCTCTAGGGGTCCCTTCCAACCCAAAACATTCTATGATTCTAAATAGTACCCAAAGCTGCACCTAGAGGAAAGCAAATTAAGTGCTACCAAATGGAGAGATCAAGCCCTCACGGCTACAGGAAAAAAGGCTGCAAATCCATGCAGTGGCTGAAAGGAACTGTCCGAGATTTACAGGTGTCTCACAGCAAAGTAAACATCAGGGAATCAACCCAGGCATTGCTAAAACACTGTCGTTTGCCTTTTCTAAAAATAAGAAGAATTCTACAAAATAAAAATCACAGAAACGTCAGTTTACTTCATCTTTTAGTTTATGCAGAGAAAAGCTGTTGTTGCAACAAAAAACAGTAGATGAAAACAATTAATACATTAAAGGGCACAGAACTAAAAGGGTTTATTTGCAGAGGATTCCTGCTTAACCAGCATAAATTTAGCCAAACTCTGTAAACTTGCACACACTGATAAAAAGCGAAAACAACAATTCAAAGCTACAAGCAATAAAGCAGAGCCTCCCACAATATGTATTATTATGAGGTATTCTGGTTTTAGTTTCTTTCAAGCAGCATCTGACTATCCACTAGTACTAGTATCATCAGCACATGCTGTAATTATTCAAATAAAAAAAAAAAAAACCAACCCACACCCCAAAACTTCCTAAAAGCCAGACAAGGAACAAGGGCTATGACTGTAGGACTTCGCATTTGTCCTTGCTGAATTTCATGAGGTTCCTGTTGGCTCATTCCTCCAGCCAGTCTAGGTCCCTCCAGATAGTAGCCCTCCCCTCGAGCATCGCTCCAGTTTGGGGTGATCTGCATCGAGCCTGTACTCCGCCTCTTCCTCCAGGACACTGGTAAGTCTTTTGAACAGAAAAACTCCTGCAGAACCCTGCATGATACCAGCCTCCAGGTAAAGTATGACACATTAATCATAATCTTCTGACCCTGGCCATCCAACCAGGTTTTTTAACCCAACTTGTTATCCAGTTACCCACACTGCAACATCCTAACTTGGGTACAAGAATATTAGGACAGACAGGGTTGAACACCTTGCTGAACTTGAGGTCAATGACACCTACTGCCCTCCCCTCATCCACAAATCCACTCATTTTTTAGTCTGTCTCTGCTTCCACCTGCTGACCTCATTTTAACACTTAGGCTCTATCATGAGCTCCCTGTTGAACCAGACCAGCCTCCCAATATATCTATTAACTTTCCTGAGTTCTTGCACAAGGAAGAGCTTGTCCTTAAGGACCTCACAGCTTTCCTCAGCTTATCCCTCAGAGCTGCCTCCCATGGGATCCCACCAACTACCTCTCCTCATGAGCTGATATCTGCTCTCCTAGATTTCAGTGAAATCCTCCTTGCATCTCCAGCTAGAACCTAATTCTTCAAATACCCACTCCTGTACATCTCAACAAAACCTCATTATATGTTTCTGATTGAGCCAAGATACCCTGGGCCACTGAAATGGCCAAAAGACATGGACACCAACACAACAGAGTACACAGTTGAAAGGCATTGTTCCACACAAATGAACAAGGCTAAGAAATATATTTTTCTCCACGGAAAACATGCCAGGTCTAACCCAACTTCTGAGGCAGCATCAGCAGTGCTCACTTTATCACACACCTACACAATACACAGTGCTTTATGACACGGGTCCTTTACCCATTTGTTTTCATGAGGACAGGATAGTTAACAATAACAATACACTTAAAAAAAATTTAAAAAAAAAAGAAAAAAGAATCCTCTGCATCCTCAGTGTAATCTGTTTCTGCAGAGGGAAAAAAATTGGCTGTCTGAGATGCAGAGACTCTTGATAATTTAAGCATTTGTTCTTTTTTTTCCCTTCCATAATAGACTATTAGCTTTTCAGATATCCACTGAGCTAAAATGAAATAAACCATTCTCTTTGTCTATTATGACTAAAGCTTTAGGTATAATACACACTCAAGGAAAAAAAAAAAAAAAAAAAAAAGCAGCACTCATCTGACCAAATTACTTTTCATCAATATTGCTTTAGGAATTACAGACATACTTTAAAGATTTTACACGTGTTAAATATTTTAGTGCATTTAATATTACTCAGAAGTCAGACAATGATCCAAGCAAGCTAGGATGCTTTAAGACATAGAATTTAGATGTCAGATTTCATTTTAAGTGTACGCAATTTCATTTTCCGACCCCAAACTGAAGTCAATAAATTCATCATATATTGGCAAGCAACAAGATACACACTCTTTTTAATCCATTATTCCTCCACCAAAAGCTATCAAAGACTTGACTTAAAGGAAGGGCTGTTTATAATAGCTCTAACATTTCTCCCTCTAGATATCTTTTTTATTTTTGTAGAAAAGAGTGTTATTTGTTTGGAATATATAAAGATATAAATGCAGGCTAACAAACTGTCAAGTTCAAAAGTTGCCCAGCTGGTAATCCAAAAGCCAGAGCCAGCCTCCAAACACCACCATCCTTGGAAAACTCTTCAGAAACAGCGAGTGATCCCCTGTCAGAAAGACAACTCGCTATCACCAGATTCACGAACGGGAAGGGAGGAGCTGCCTGGAGAGAGGTCTCCCATTAACAGTGCAAGAGGCTTTACCAAGAATCCAAAACCCAGCACTGCTGCATCACAGAAGGAAGATTCCCAGATTTGGGATCCAGCCCCCTCGGCTACCAGCAGAGAGTAGTTCAATATTAAACAATCAGAGCACTAGCTTTGAAGCGAGCGCCCTTCCTGTAATGACACCTTATCAGACAAATGCAGACTCTGACAAGTTAGATGTAGCTACAAAATAAAGGAATAAGTTGACTGTTCTTACAGCATCAAAGAAATTCAATAGTTTGTAATTCTTCATCAAAAAAGCGTTCGATGGATGGTGCGGTAACATGTATTTAAGTATAATTTAATCCTATTAAATACAAATCATTTTAGCAACTGAGGTATAACACTGATTCTGCTTTCCTGGGGAAATACAAGCACTTCACCTAAAACACTAGTTCTTAAAGCAAAAATACACGTAAGGTTTCTTAAGCTCGCGCAGGGTCAAGAGATTCATTAAGCCTTCCAATAAATAAAAATTTTTTAAAAAAAGCACTATTTCCAATACACAAAGAGAGACAAAATAAAGGATCAGATATGTACATATGGTGAATTAGCAAAGAATTACTGGGGTATTACAGCCTTCATCACTAGTCACCACATCCCAAAAATCAGACGCTTACACAAGACTACTTCCATAACCCAGGTTTAAGGATGAAAAAGCAATAAGCACCGCCATGCAAGTATGTAGGAAGCACAAGTATTATTTCATAAAATCCTTTACCTAGAATAATTTCTTCACCACAGTAAAATATACATACACATAATGAGAAGGCTGCTATTTAAAAAGAAAAAAGAGGGACAATCTGGCACTGCAGGCATGAAACTATAGCCCTACTCCATTCAAACCTTACTTAAGGAAGCATTAAATTCTAAGCAATTTTATCGGGCAAACAACATTTCACAAGACAGGTGACAGTTTAAGGAATTTTTAGCACTGGTACTTTCCTTGCCTTCACTATGCCACAGTCTTCCTACATCATAAAGCAGATAAACAAACCTCTAAAACAGCATCATTTGGGAATCCCAATACTTGTAAAATGTCTCATGGTGGATTCACTTGATGCTTACTTCCGGCCTCTTCACCCCGGTATTCCTAGAAGGCAATTCATCTCATCCTCAGGTAGAATTCTCAAATAAGCCAGATGAATTGTCCCCCAAGACATCTTTTTCTTTCTACTGACTACAGAGGGAGCCCAGCTCGGACACAGACACCTTCTATTAAGCAACATGAAACCAACTTTCTACGCTTCAGATGAAAGATGTGACGTTCTGTTCATTCAAGTCTTGCCACAAGGCCCACTACTGCCACGGGACTTGTTTTTAATCAGCACGTTCAGTTTTGGTGGGATTTTTCTAAGTATCAAGGCAAAAGACCCTTAGGGAATACTGGTATCATTAGTATTTCTGGAGCACTGATAAGAAGCCTTACTTGAACCTTACAGGTTTCACACAGTTGACAAACATAAATCACATGCTCCAATCTCTGCCATTCATTTTCACTCCTTCAGTAGCTACGTCGTGTTCACCGTGCTGAAGTATTTTAAATTAGAGTACAGGCTGCCTGGCAAGAAGCCCGTTTGATGCACTTGAACAGGCCTCGATAATGAAATATAAAATGTTAAGAAAGCCATCATTTTGAGCCATCGATCTGTACAAACTGTATGCAGCTTTTTTCCACTATTCCATGATAGGAAAATAGCATATTGTTCTTTTAATGTTTGCTTAAGTGCATTTCAACAGAAGCTCAATATACAAAATTTAGCACTGATTAAGTACGCAAGAATTTTCACTTCAGAACTCAATACACATTTGGAGTAGGTATTTGCTTTTTCTGGTTTTTAAAAAAGAAAAAGAGTCTTCAACAATGGATAATACCTTAGAAAGCCACATCTAATAAAGAGTTGTGTTACATTTTAATGTCAGTCAGGAGAAAATAAAGACTAATATAAGTTCTCTAAAAGCCTACACACTACTTCTTCAAAAGGGGATGGGCAAAGAAGTTAATGTCAAAAAAATCATCTCTACGAAATGGCAATGAGTTCATTACAATGCTCTGAAAGGCACATTTGATTTTCTTTCTCTCATTAAAAAACAGAAAACATGGGCATACCTGCACCAGATGCTGATCGGTGCTGAGACTGCGGTCTTCCACTGGGTGAAGAAGGTTCCTTCATACGATCAATGACACTGTCAGATAGCTGAAAAATATAAGCCCCAACCCAGAGTCAGACTGCATCTCCTCCTTTATGCCCATTCTCTCTCTCTTCCCCCTCTCCCCCAAAAATGAAGTAAAAAACTGAAAAAAGCACAGAGCCCCAAGATAACACATGGCAGCCGTTAAAATTTTATCAGCAGTGCAAAATAAACTTTGCATTTCCCCCTTTTTGTGGATAAGCACTCATGTCTGACTGCAAATGATCAGGCTGAACAAGATCATTTTGGCTTTCACAGAACACAAGAAACTGATACAACAAAATATAGGATACAGGAAAAGATAAAGGAAACAACACCCTTTGACACTCTGCTTGTAATTAATCAGACTTTTTGCCTTTCTCAGTTATTTGGATGACAGTCAAATACCATACTGTGCAGGCGCAGAGCACCTAACCCAAGAGGAACTTCATCCTGATAAAGCTCTCGAAATACTTCTGCAACACAAGTGGGCAGAGCAAGCATGGTCAACCACTAAGTTCATTCTAATGTTGACACACACACACACACACAAAAACTGTTACAAATTATGCAGAATCAAACTGAGAAGAGTAATGCCCAGTTTCAGATCTATTGTAGCCCACAGGAAAAATTAACAGAAGTTAAAGAAGTCCTAACATGAAAGCTTTCTTTTTCCAACTTAAAACTTTCTATTGGTTTCCTAGAACAGCAACTCTATCAAAATACTGTTTATTTGTAAGTAGCAAATTCCTTACTGAACCTAGAGTATGACATCTCTCACTGGCAGAAATCTGTTACAGATTTCAGCAAAATCTTTGTAATCCAATAGGCAAGTGTAAAATTTCTTCAGCATTTCTTCAGATTTCTTAACCCAATCCTTAAAACTTTCAACTTCACACAGTTAGTTTTACATACGTAAACAGTTATGCATATCCCACTTTTGGATGCTCTACTGACTGACATTATTTACTTAGTGAAGCTACATTTTCCTAGTACCCATGATGTCACTCAGTTTTTATTCCCAGTATTTCAAGATCCAGGATACTTTAGAGAAATTCCCATAGCCCTTCCCAGTATTTAAGCATGGCTCAGAGCGGATAAACTCTGCTGTGAACACTTCCATTGCTGTCATCTATTTGCCCAAGAGCATTAAATTACCAGAACCGAAAAATATTAGTAGGCTGAAATAGGCAGCAGTTACTATCATGGCTCAGCCTGCAACACTCCTCCCTATGAGCAGCAATAAAAGAGAACTTATCATCCTTCCTGATATGAACTACAGCGTCTTCCATTATAAAATTTCTAAGCTGCAAGATTCCCAAATGTGCCTTCCATCACAAACTATTTTCCGGTATACTATAGGCAACAGCATGC